AAATGATATTAATGTACATGTCGACTGTGAATTTATCAACCTGTTTGCAGACGATACTCTATTAGCTTGTAGTGATATAAGCCTGGATGCTGCTGTACAGAAAATGAATGTGATATTGCAAAAAGTTGACAAATATATAAATATTAATAAATTGAAATTGAATGTGAGTAAAACTGCTGCCATGATCCTCACTTCAAAATACAAATATAAAAAAATCAATATAAACCAGATAAATATAAAAGTGAATAATACTGTGAAATACTTAGGGTTTCAACTGGACTGCAATCTCACATTCGAAGAACATTTTCAATACGTACATAAGAAAATTTCGAAAAAACTATATTTTTACTCTACAGTTTCAAAGCTTCTGTCTTTAAACACAAAGATATTAGTCTATAAAACAATTATACAACCACACTTTGATTATTGTGCTTCGATTTTATACTCTTTCGATTTGAACAAACAGGCACAACTACAAAAACTACAAAATAGAGGAATGAGAATTATATTGAGAGGATACACATACCGATATACTCCCATAATTACAATGTTAATAACCCTAAATTGGCTTTTGGTATCCCAAAGACTTTTATACCAGACAATGATATTTGTGCATAAAAAAGTTAATGATTTAACTGGAACATATCTTAAAAAATCTATTTGTTTTAATTATGATATTCACAAATATTACACTAGACATAATCTTGACATACATATACGTAGAACTAATACCAAAACCAGTATGAACTCAGTATATGTCGAAGGTTTTGATATATACAACAAATTGCCTCATTCAATTAAATCAGCTTCAACTTTAAAAAGGTTTAAAACTGATCTACTGCATCATATTTATAACAAATGTAACTGAAGGTATTACTAATAAGATCATAAGTCATGAGTTTTGGAATATTAATCAATTATTTGTTAGTTATAATTTTGTGGTTGTATATTAGGAATGTATCCTACTTACCAAATAAATTTATTATTATTATTATATATGGCTACACGCAAACGCATAGTATAAATTCAACAATCCCTTTCGGTCCAAAATTGGTTTCATCTAAAGAATTGCATAGTATGCTTTATTGAGTGGTTTACAAAGTCTATGTGTCTATGCTGTCACTAAATATTAGATATTTCTCATATGGAAATGTATGCAGGTTGTCTTGTCAATATTTAAAATGAGTCAATTTTTTTGACACCATTGTTTTATTTCATTGTTGTGTCATCAGCAAACATTGTTACTTTTCCCACGGTAATATGATTGGGAATATCGTTTTCAAAAAGGAGAAAAATTAAGGGTCCCAAGACAGATCCTTGGGGAACACCAAGAGAAGAAGTGCATTCATTCGATAGTTGTTGTTCTACTTTGATGAGACTACTTCTGTGGGAAAGATAAGACTCGAAAACATTTTAACAATACACCTCTCATACCTAGAAAACCAAGTTTTTCTAATATGAATTTTATGTTTAGGCTGCTTTTGAGAAATGGAACAAAAGAGACGTAACATATTTTCTTTTATCTAAGAAAGTATAAACATAATTCAGTAAATGGAATGTGGATGATCGTTGATTTATCATTCCTAAAATCACATTGAGAAAGCGTTAGCAGGTCATAGCAGTGTAGGGGAGTTGGAGCTTTTGATTGTTTAAGTAAGTATAAACATAATTCAGTAAATGGAATGTGGATGATCCGTTGATTTATCATTCCTAAAATCATATTGAGAAAGCGTTAGCAGGTCATAGCATTCTACAAAACTGATTACTAGATTCTATACACAGTGTTAAAGCACCTTTGAAAATTCTGTCAAAAGAGATATTTGGCGGTAGTTATCTATTGTTTGTTTGTCACATTTTTGTGTAGGGGAGTTGGAGCTTTTGATTGTTTAAGTCATAACACAAGGGAACAAAATTAATTTGTTTTTTTAATGCGTGGAATTTCATAGCTGTTGTTTTCTAATTCAAGGTTGCTGATTTCAAAAATTTTTTCCAACAGCTCTAGTTTTTGAGATAATATACTATTAGGTAACTATGAGAACTATCGTTCTCATAATTCACTTTCAATTTCAATGCATTGCATACAGCAAGTATCGGTTGACTCCAATGCATGTCTATTTTTGACTGGTTCACCGTAATTACTGCCAAACTACCATTTTTCAAAAATCATTGCTATTGCTGTAAAACTCACCTCCCTAATTTTCCTGCTAACAAAATCCTGACCATCATCAGTAACAGGCATCCCTGGCCTGTAAAATTTACTCAGTCCCCCCCTTCCTCTGCCCGAACAAATATAAGTAACGTCTTCTTCGGGCTCTTGAGTGTCGAAAATACTGGAAGTATGATTAGCTCTCATTTGAGCATTGTACTGAACTATGGTAGCGAGAGGAGGTTCGTAGGCATCATCCTGGTTTACGGCTATTTCTGAAAATGCACACAGGTCGTTATGCAAATCCTCGAGTGTCGTCCAACAGGGTGCTGCTTTCGAAGAAGCCATCATTGGCTGATATCTGGAAAATGAAAGTGGATCAGCCTGCAAGACAATTTTCTCAAATTTGAATTGAAGTTTTCAGGATATCATGCAATATATTAATAAACATATGTTTCAAAAATATAAAAAAACCATTGAATTGTGACACACCAACATATCCTAATCACCTTGATTATTAGAAATTAAATAACCTTTAACAATTATGAAGTTGGAATTTTTCCTTTTTTTTAATGAACAATTTTACTCTTCCTCCTTATTATATTCATTTATCCAAGAGAAAACTCCATAATATGCAAGTTTTAAATATTACTCATCATTTAACTCTGTTCTGTTTTTCATAGACATTACTGCTGACAAATGACAATGAACAAATAGACCAATGAACTAATAGACAGGACTTCCAACAGTTCCACATTGACAACTATGAAGTTGACATTTTTCTTTCTTTTTTCAACCTACCTTGATCGATCTTGAGAAAGAGAGAGAAAGAACTTTACTGTCCCAAGAAACTAATGTTTTGCAGATAAAGTAGAGACATTTTAAAGTAATACATTATCAATACAAAGATTAATGATTATATAATCGACAAAATGGTTAAGGCTTTGATTTAGGTAGTCTGGTGTGATAACACCTGTACCTGAATCAGGTAAATTGTCAATAAAGGTCGACAAATGTTATTGACAATTTATCTAAATTAGGTTCAGTTATTGCACAGTTATCAAACTACCTGTGCAATATCTAGATGTGTCAAATCAGATGATCTAGTAGGGTCTTCTAAGAGTTCACTGGTTTGGATAATCGAAAAATCCGAATGATTTTTCAGTTGATGTTGCTTTTCAGCAGAATGAAGTACCTCTTCATTATGACTAGCTGGTTCCAAAGAGGCTAGGTGGCAATTATCCAAACCGGTGGATAATTGCACTAATTCAAATGACTCTTATTTCGAGAGACATTAATAAGGTATTCATTTTCAAAGTAAACTCATAAAAACGGACAAAACTTTTGAAACAACCTTATTTAACCGTAGAGTTCATGTTACAAATAGAAGATGCTCCCAACGAAATCATCCCAGAAACTTTCCACAATATGGGAGAAATGAATTTCTTAACATTTACTGGAATAAACTAGAGCAAGGTTTGAATAAATTATTTCTTGTAATTAGGGTATTTATCGTTTTTTTTGCAGATCCTTAAAATAAATATAAATCTGCTCAGGAATGGCTGATCCGATTTCCAAAAATGAACAAGAGAATTGAAATGCCTATCAAATAACTTATCACAAGACCCCCACTTCTTTTAAAAAAATGCAATACTGTCATAAACAAATATTGAAAATGATACATTTCTACATAAATCTTGTTGAGAAGTTCATAGGAGGGATGATTTCGCCCCACTTTATAATTTCATTTCTATTCGCTGTACCAAAAATCGCAGCACATATCCCATGACGTCACACTAGCTTTCGACAAACTCGCAGTTTTTGAGTTGGGTATCTTGATAACCGTAAATATTATTGATTTGAAATTTTTGTCATTCTATTCTGGATAACAAACAGTATCACTATCTAAACTAGAGTTTCGGAAGTACCTAGATCATCTTCTAATGAGGCAACTTTGGTTTGTGAAAAAAGCATTTAAGAGAATGTTACAGTTATGGAATTCTCCCTTTCACTTCTTTAGATTAATGATTGTTATTGAATGACCTTTGAAAGTTTATTTACACTCAATTTGCTTAACAGCAGACCGAAAAAATATTTTGTGACTTTAATCATCTGTTTTGTTCTTCAAGAAAATATTTTGAGTTTATCTCTAAGAGCACCTTATCAGAACAGTATAAAAGGGGAGTATTTAATAGACGTGTTTATTCCACAGTTTACAGCGTGGCGGAAAATACAAAACATGATATACATTGACGAAGAAACAGTTCTCAGTCTCATCAACTGGGATAAAACCTTCAAGGCCATGGAAGTGGCTATGAAACGGGTGACGGAAGGTAGGGTGGTGCAAAGTGCCCGTGGGAGGACAAAAATTTTCGACAAACCGGATATACTTTTGACGATGCCCGGGTACCTGGAAGACGGAGAGTTTGGAGCTCTTGGCTGTAAAATTGTTACATTTTTCCCGGGAAATGTGGAACTGAAAACACCGCTACCGTCTGTTAACGCAAATATTATGCTTTTCGACGAAAAAACTGGAATCATCAAAGGAGTAAGTTCAAGTTATAATGATATTGATGATTAATGTCGCAAGAAACGAGCGATTTATATAATAGTTGAAAATTACATTGGTAGAGAATGTTGGCAAAATGCAGAGTCTGTTTTGAAAAGTTTTGAAAACAAATATTTGAAATACCTACTTTTAATATCGAAAGTTATTCATGTTCGGAATTCTAATGAATGTCAATTTCAAACTTGGGATTCTGTTGAATTTTGACTTTATTCTCGGAATTCTGTCGAATTCAGACTCAAAAATTTAACTTAACAGGCGGAGTTGTATTAAATGCCGATTTTAAACTCGAAATTTTGTTAAATTGCAACTTTAAACTCGAAATTTATGTATGCCAATTTTAAACTTTGAATTTCGTTAAATTTCGACTTCAACCTCGGGATTATATCGAATTCAGACTTTAGGGTCCAACTTTATATCTGAATTTCATTGAATGCCGACTTTAAACTCTATGATTTGTTGAATTGCGACTTCACACACGATATTTTATTGGATGCCAATTATTAGCTTGAAATTTTGTTGAAATTCGAATTTAATCATGGAATTTTCGACTTCAACTTCGGGATTATATCGAATTCAGACTTCAGGGTTCAACTTTACAATCGGAATTTCATTAAATGCTGACTTTAAACTCGTATGATTTGTTCAATTGCGACTTCAAACACGATATTTTATTGTATGCCAATTTTTAGCTCGGAATTTTGTTGAATTTCGACTTTGATCATGGAATTTTGATGAATTTAGACTTCGAGATGTGACTTTAAGATTGGAAATTCATTGAATACCGACTAAAACTTGAAATTTTGGTAAATTGCAAATTCAAACTCGGAATTTATAAATGCCAATTTTAAAATTTGAATTTCTTAAATTTTGACTCCAACCTTCGAAAATTCAGACTTCAGGATCCGACTTTATAATTGGAATTTCATTAAATGCCGACTTTAATCTCTATTGATTTGTTGAATTGCGACTTCAAACACGATATTTTATTGTATGCCAATTTTAAGCTTGGAATTTTTTTGAGTTTCGACTTCACTCTTGGAATGCCAATTTTAAACTTCGACTTTACCTCACGTTTCCAAGTTCTAATATTCTAATTTGGATTTTGTAAAGAAACACACATTTGATGTGTTGAATACTCAAGTTTCATGTTTAACATGAGGTTAAAATTGAGATAACCAATTTTAAAAACTGAATAAATAGTTGATGTTAAGGTTATGAACATAAATAACGCCTAATTAATGAAAAAATTGCCAGGGAACGAAATTTCAGTTTTTTTCAATTAATAATCCAGCTTATTTAAATCTGGAGAACTATGAGGCCATTCCAATCTACCTACCTCTTGTTTCGACCCACCTATTCCTAAATGTATCATCGGAATATTTTTCTATGATTTACAATGAAATATTCGATTGTATCTTCGTTTTTCAGATAGTGGCTGGTACTGAAATAACAAAATGGAGGACAGCAGCAGCTTCAGCTGTGGCAACCAAGTACATTCATGCAAAAAAGCTGGCTTCCAGCAAAATTTTGGCCATCGTAGGTGCTGGAGAGCAAGGAAAAGTTCACGCTGAGTGCTTTAAGCATTTCTTTGACTTCCAAGAAGTGAGTATTGTGAAAATTTCGGATGATTGAAGCAGATTCTTTTCTCAACAAAAATATATTTTCCATGATGTTGCATGTTTATAGCAGCCACGTTGTTTATAGTTTGAACCTTCAAAAATGATGTCCTGTACATGGAATTTTGATAAAGTTCTGTTTTTTAAAATGTCTTATTGCTGAATAATATCACACAATGTCACAAACTGAAATATACGACACACTCATATCAATGAAGAATGGAGAGGTTGACTGACATTGACATTGACATTGATCCTCTTGCGTAGGTATTTAACGAATCAATGTTTCGAACAAAAAGTTATCACGAAGAGGTAGACAATTTATTAACTACAAATGAATATCTTTGCTTCGTGCACTACCTCAATTATATGAAAAATTCACAGATTACAAGTACCTACATTTAGATATGAAACAGTATACCTGGTGGTATACTGGTGGTCTAACTAACTTCACTCTGATAGATGAAAAAGGGAACTGTTTTATCGATAGTGAAATTTGTCGGTAAATTTTGATTTTTCAAGGATCTATTTATCAATTAGATAAATCTGTTATGGTAGACTTTGCTGTATTTTGAGATGCTATTCATGATTTTCTGTCCAACAGATGATCAATTCAAAATTTATATAAAATTTACAACTCAGTCAATGAAAGGGTTGACATTGGATCGATAGAAATTGTTGGTCAGGAAAGTGAGTAATAGCAAAACTACTAAAATGCAGCAAAAACCATTGAAATATATACTTTCATTATGTGGTTTAGTCACAATGCTCATGCCAAGTCAATCTTTTGTGGTGTCACATGTCAAAATTTGAAAGGTACACACATAAACACCGAAATTAGGACTTGCGTTCCCAAATGATCTACTGAGATGGTTTAGTTCTTATAAAGAGGGGCGTTGCATGAGAATGAGATATGTAGATGTTTTGTCAATGGTGTATGGTGTTGAATTAGTAGTTCCTCAGGGTTCAGTGTTGGGACCACTACTGTTGGTTCTATCTGTTAATGATTTGTCCGAGAATTCAAGGACTACAATGTGTGCAGATGATACCGCAGTTACAATTTGTGGAAAATAATGGAACCAATGACCAAAGTTATAATCGCCTGATTCTGAAAACTTTCAAATCAGTAACAATGAAATTTCACCTCAAGAACAACAATAGCGAAGAGTGGTATACTATGCTGAAATAGAGATGTTGAAAGAAGTCAAATTCTTAGGCACAGTAATTGATGAGTCCTCAAATTAGAATTCTTATGTTGATGGTGTTTGTTAGAAGCTCAAACAATCATTTTGTACGACCAAACAGATGAAAATAAACGAGGTTGAACAGAAAGTCTATCGAGTATGCCATGGCTTTTTCAACAATTTCCCTGAATATCACATCCTGGGGCTTTGGGTTGCAGATCATGAGAATGATTTTTTATAGGAAATATCCGGAAAGTTGTGAACCAGTTTTTATAAAATGGAAAAACATTCTTCATTGAAAAATACTACAGTAGTTATAAGGAATACTTGAACGACAATTTATGCTACTCTATAGTTTTCACGTGGCTGAATTTCGTGTTTATGACTTTGATATTATTTATTTGTTTCTAATGGTCTATGTATTTTTTTTTGACTCACCATAAGTACTTATAGTGTATCAAAAATGGTCGAATAAACTATTATTTTTATTATTGTTTATTATCGTTGAGTTTGTTCTAGGTTCGTATATGGAATCGCACTCCATCGAGAGCACACAGCTTGGCGGAGTATTTGAACAAAAAATATAACACCAACATTTATAAAGTTAACGTCAGTGTCGAAGAATGTGTGAAAGAGGCAGATGTTATCGTATCCTCAACTAATTCTTCAGTGCCAGTCCTCATGGCAGACTGGATCAAGGCTGGAGCACATATTAATGGTAAGTGAAAAATTAATAGTGATTTTAATAATCTTTATTGTCATTTGACCTTGTTTCCAATAACAATTTCATTGTTCAACTTTTGCTTTGATGGGTACAAAAATTTTTACATTATTGTTTCAAATGAATGTAGGCCCTAAAACAAGAAACGTAAGTTCGAAAACAAGGAATGTAGGTCTAAATAAAAGGGAAGTAAGTCCAAAAACGAGAGATACGACCCAAAAACGAAGAAAGTACTACCAGAAACGGAACTTGAGTCCGAAACAAGACACGTAAGTCGAAAACAGATGTTAGTCCAAAAACAAGGGAAGAACCCCATAAATCCAGAACGTAGGTCCAGAAACAAGGAACCTATGTTCAGAAACGAGGAACCTAGGTCTGAAAACAAAGGACGTGAGGCCAAAAACAACGGATATAACCTAAAAACAAGGAACGTAGGTCCAAAAACAGAAAACGTACTTTCAAAAACCGGGATCTTAATTTCGAAAAAATGGATGTGAGTCCAAAAACAAGGGATGTAGGTTCAAAACAAAGGACATAAGTCGACAAAAAGGGAAAGTAAGTTCAAAAACTAGGGACGTAAGTCCAAAAGCAAGGGATGTAACCCAAAAACAAGATACGTGAGTTCAAAAACAAAGAACGTACTGTAATAAATGACCGTCGGGTCTGAATAGTACTAATGATATATAATAATTATCTTAATTATACTCGCACCAGAGAAATAACCCCCCTTTGTATGAGATCGTTCAGCCGAAGGTAATTATTTTTTAATTTAGTTTGGTAGCGCGAGAGTTGCTGCGACCAGATCAGAAAAAGTTTGAAACCGTTCTGATCACACGGATTGAGAATTAGTGGGCGACTTGGTCAACAGGTATTTTTTTTACCGTTCTATCTTCGTAGAGCAATGGCTTGGTTATGCCACCAATGGGAATGTTCCTCCTGACGAAAATCAAGTAGTTTAAATAAAAGAGTTCTAAAACAACGCATTTTAAACTTATCATTTCAACCTTTTTCTTAAAAAAATTATTTATGTGCATTATGAAAGAAAAAGAAATACCTATATAATTATAACCATGTGAAAAATATGAACAAACCACTAAAACAAAATGACAGGATTATTTCCCGAAAATTGAAATAACATCACTTAGGACATGGGTATGCCTTGCCTGAATTCTACTAGATCTGCTATAAAAACAAATTGGAATACAACTTTGAGGAACTATTAAGAGACGTACCCCACTCAATCGTTCTTCCCTGCATAATATAGGAAAATGCTATAACCTAATAATGAAAAAGGGAAACCGATTCGTAGCTATATGATAAATTTTCAACAATACCCTAGGTGCCAATTCGAAAATATAAAACACATAGGCATGTAATAACATATACAATATAGATCAGATTTTTTTAGAAACGCTCACCAATTTAACGTAGAGAGACTCTTCTGAAGTTTCCAACCAAAGCAACTTTTTCCCAGCAACTGTCCCAAATTCTTACCAGGAACTCGAAAATGTTCTCTCAATCAACTGAATTGAATCAAACCGCGAATAATTATCAAAACCCAATCACTTCGCGAATTCTCTCAATAATTTCACGACTCTGTAGGAAGTCCAACCGACCTACTTCTCAGTTCGTACGCTCCTGACATTTTACCTCAAGTCAGCTAGCCAAATAAAACGCGAATAACTCCCAAATATCGAGATCACTTCTCGAAACCGTGTTTCATTCTATTCGAGTATTTCCCAAAACTCTGGAGGAAATTCAACTGGCCTATTTCTGACTTCGTACGCTCCTGACTTTTTACCTCAAGTCAGATAGTCAAATAAACCGCGAATATTCATCACTTCTGAAATCCCCTCGCGACCCAGTGTCTTAAAACACCTATCACCTCAGTCCCTTCAATAGCTTTTCCAGCAACCTCCCCAAAGGGGCCAACTGCCCCGGGCAAGAGCCTCTAAACGACCCTGGGGTCTGAGCACGACTGACTTAATCCTCTCCCAAAACTTTCCAACTTAACTCTATTAGGGGATGTAATTCAAATAATCTCATAAAAATTCCCACCAATCAGAAAGTCTGAAGTTATTTCCGAAACTGGTACTCTCAACGTCCTCTACATGTCCAGCGGATGAGTCCGCAAGAATTACTGACTAGTCCACGATATTTTTGATGTCGTTAGCCTGCTACTGATATATAGATGTCACTGCAAGGGTTATTTTGATAGTTTCTCTGTCTCGAATAAGAGGTATGTAGGTAGACTATCCCACTTTCAACACCTATAAAATAAATTTCGATATTTATTATACCTTTAAGTTCTTCTTGACAGTTATTCTAATGGGGTACACAGACTGAATAATATATTTTCGACCCTTAACGTCATGATAACGAAATGAATGATGAGGTTGAATGTTCTAAAATATCAGATTTCTTAAACATCGAGCAGTTAACTTTAACGACTTTTCCTTTGAATGGCTTGGCTCTGATTGACCTAAAATTATTACTGAAAGCTGATAAAGGTTCCCTTTTTCTAGTTTTGGTAGTCAATATTTAACGAAAAATAATATATCTAACTTATAACAGTACTTCCAAAAACAGGAAAGTTAAGTACGAAACAAGGGACGTAAGTCCAAAAGTAGGAGATGTTAGCCCAAAAACAAGGAACGTGAGTAAAATAACAAGGGACAAAAGTCCAAAAACATGGACTGTAGGACCATAGGTAGGTCCAAAAACAAGGAACACACTACTATAATAGGGAACATAGGTTCAAAGCAAGGGACGTAGGACAGAAACAATGGACATGGCTTAGATCAAATGACGTAGGCCAATAAATAAGAAACTTAAGTACGATAACAAAAGAAGTGGTTAGAAAAACGAAGAATGTAAGTTAGTTCAGAAACCTAGCCAACTTGCTACGATTTTGTAGTGTTGAAACAAAGATAATTTCGTCGGAAAATTTTCACTTGAATTTTTCAAATGGTGTAGAATTGAAAAACACTCATCCGTTAGTACTAGGAAATTTCTGTTTTATTTCTATTTGTGTATAATTATGCAAAATAACGGTTTAATTGAGTTCTCCTTTGGTATCAAAATGAAGTGGATTTAATGAAAGAACACCTTGTATATGCGGCTATGTAATAACATACAGCTACAAAAAGACATTTGATTATATAGTCTTCAATAATATCACTCGGATATCATTTGCCTTAGAAACCAATAGAAACGCAATGTTTCATTTTTGGCCTGATCGGTACAAAAATATTTTCAATATTGTTTTGAATATGCGATTTCAGAAGTAATCGAATTTTTCCGCTGATATATAAAAAGGAGCGTTTTTGTCATGTTCCGGGTTTTGCAAGATATTACTAAATGAGTTTCGAGATATACATGGTGCAACAAACAAACAGAAAACACTTATAACGTAAGCAGGCTGATAGTGGTTTTGTTCCCATTGCTACAGCCTTTTTAAGATGAATTATCAATAATCTGACACGTTACTTGGTGGAAAGTAATAATAATAATTTTACACTATAAATTGTATAATTATTATCAGTTTATTTGAAGATTCTTACTATAAAAGGTTTAACAACAACAGCGAGACTGCTATTTTTTCCAATCATTGGTAGAAAAACAGGATGTTTATCAAGAAAAGTCTACCCTGTTGCGAGAATAAAAATATCGATAAGAATCAAGGTAGGATATAACTTCACTTCAAATGAAGACGGAAATAATACAACGCCGCGATTAGATTAATGAAATGAATATAAAGGAAATGAGTTGACAAAACAAATACTTCAAATCAATGACGTAAGTAAAGGGTATAAGTCGAAAAACAAGCAAAGTGAGTTGAAAACAAGGGACGAAAGTGAAGTAAGTCAAAGAACATTGGAACGTAAGTCCAAAATATAGGGACGTAACTCCAAAACCAGGGGATGTACCCCATAAACAAAGAACGTAGATCTAAAAACAAGGGGCATATGTAGGAACGTAGGTCTAATAACAAGAAACGCAAATTCTGAAACAAGAGATATAACCCAAAAACAAGAAACGTGAGTCCAAATACAGGGAACTTAAGTTCAAAACAAGCGACGTGACTCCAAAAATAAGGGATGTAATCCATAAACAAGGAACGTAGGTCCAAAAACTAAGACGTAAGTTGAAAACAAGGAACGGAAGTCTAACAACAATAAACGTAAGTTCTAAAACAAAAGATATAACCCAAAACCAAGAGATGTGAGTCTAAAAACAAGGACTGTACCAAAAACAAGGAATGCACTGTCATAATAGGGAACATACGTCCAAAATAAGAAATGTAGAACCAAAAACAAGGGACGTGGCCCAGATCAAATGACGTAGGTGAAGAGCATAAGTCAAAAAAAAAAGAATGTGAGTGCAAAAATAAGAGATGGCTCGAATCAAGTGACATAAGTCAAAAATATCGAACGTTAGTCCAGAAACAAGGAATGAAGTTCAAAAACAAGTGACGTAGGTCCAAAAACAAGGAATGTAGGTCCAAAAACTAAGAAAGTCAGTCCAAAAACAAGGGATGTAGGTCCAAAACAGTTTAGAAATCCAGCTATTAATTACTTAAGATTTCAGTATGTTCGAAAACAACTGAGGATATGGGTTGATTTGGAAACCGATCAGAAATTACGTATCGTTTGATAGATTTACAAACTACTAAATATTTGGTTGGTTAGGAAAGTACTCCGGAAACCAATGGCGCCTAAAACCAATAGAAAGAATTCGGGTTTTTTGTTGCAGATATAGGTACTAAGCAAGGAAAGTACTTTTTTCTGTATGGTCATGAAAAATGAATATATTTCATTTCAAAATTTTCTTGAGAAAAACTGAAGTGGTAAAACAATAAATCAGTTGAGACAAGAAGCCTTTTTTATAGCGTCAATCCCATTAAAGCCGTTAATGACGTTTCACAATTGAGTAATTTTTCGAGAAAATATTCACAACAAAGAGAAAAAAAACATCCAGTCTTTTATGACTGAAGTGGTAAAACAATAAATCAGTTGAGACAAGAAGCCTTTTTTATAGCGTCAATCCCATTAAAGCCGTTAATGACATTTCACAATTGAGTAATTTTTCGAAAAAATATTCACAACAAAGAGAAAAAAAACATCCAGTCTTTTATGACTGAATAAAGTAATCGGACGAGATTAAATAAAAAATAATAAAGGCTAGCAGGTATATACACATTGCGAATGTGCCCATAATTTTCAAAATCATACAGTGCTTATGAACACTCTTCAAATTTCTAAATTAACAATCGAAAACTCACCTGAATGAGCCACAAAATTTTGGTTTGTGTTTTTCGGAAAACTAAAACACTCGCCACAGCTGAACCCTTCACGAAAGCAGTCAAAACTCGAATGGTTTCTCGTATGTCACTTTGAAAAGGACTCGAAATGGGGACATAAATATTTCGTCTATCTATACGGCCCGGCTAAAGAAAAAGGCGATAGCGATCCCCACATGTGTGAAAGATTAAGTGAAATAAACCACACATTTCTCTATCACCGAAACATGCCTATACGGCAAGATTTCCACGTGTTTGTTGAAATTCTCATAAATAAATGACCAGGTAAGAACTGTCTTAAAATGCCAGCGTATATTTCATTTCAACAAAAAGTGCACAACTGTTAGGCTAGCCGCACACTGGCATCTTTTTTTTTTCACAAAAACAGAAACACATTACTTAAAAGCATCAGATTACTTATTTGTTAAGGAAAATTGATAGTAATTTTCATCAGAATCCGTATTTAGGCGTTTGTTTCTTTGCGATAAACTGAAAATTCAACAAGTTCGACTTTCCTGGAAACTTAATATTTGCTGTCAAAATTTCAGGTTGTTTCGAAAGTTTTGTCCAATTCAATTTCACGTGTTTTTGTAGCTCCATATCTCAATAAATATTTATTCTACTGTCGTGGTATACAGGGTGTCCTAGGACCCTTGCTAATCATTCTTTATTTGAATGATATCAATTTTGTTCAAGACTATAGGTTTATTGATTTGTTTGCTTGTGATACTCTCGTAGCTGTCAACAGTCTGGATGAGGCTCAAATGAACAAATGTTTTGGTAATTATCACTAATTTTTTGAATATTAACAAGCTCAAATTAAATACTCTTAAAACCAAGNGCCTATCTACCGTTTATCCCTAGGGTCACGGACAGAATTGGAAAACTATTGGCTAAAAACAACATCGAAACAGTCTTCAAATCCACGAGGAAGATACAACAAAGCCTCAGGTCGGCTAAAGACAAAAGAGACCCACTATCAGCAGCAGGGGCCTATCGCATATCTTGCACTTGTGGAAAAGTATATATCGGAACCACCAAACGATCCATGGAAACAAGACTGAAAGAGCATAATAGGAACTGCAGACTAGGCCAAGCAGGCAAGTCAGCTGTGGCAGAACACGCACTTAGTGAAGGAGACCACATAATTTCGTTTGAAAATACAGAGCTAATTGCCCCCAACCAGGGATACCATAGTCGACTGGTACCGGAGGCAATAGAGATCCACAAACACACGGAGAATTTCAACAGAAAAGAAGAAGCGGTGAACCTCAATCGAATATGGAACCCCATTTTAAGGAATTCGAGAATAACGAACGGAATGACAACAGGCAGCAAGATTGTTAATGTTCCAGGTTCAAGTACAGGTACAAGTGCAGGTACAAGTACAGGTACAAATACAACTGATTACCTGACAAGGCATAAATCGCTTTACGAAGCCTAAAAGTTAGTCATCGGACAGCAAGCCATGATGGTTTAACCTCTGAAGAAGCTAGCCACTCGTGCTAGCGAAACGTTAGAAGGAAATTCCAAAAATCTACGGCTTTCAAACTCAAAAAACAGTGACACTGAAAACCTCAGCCGCGAAAGTCTAAACCATTTTGAAAACTTTTGGTACTTTTCACGAAAAAACCTTAATTCCCACACCTTTTATCGAAAAATTATTCGTTTTCGAAATACAAATTTTTAAAATGTTTTAAAACATAATTGGTTTTTGTATTAATTTCTTTGCAATTTTAGTTATTTGTATTAATGGTGAAAACACGTTTTAAGATTTTGTGACAATTTCATAAAATACCTAGTTACGTACTTAAAGGACGCAGTTCTCGGACTAGGCTGGAGAATGCTACTTTGCCAAAAAAAAAGCGTCCGTGAAACAAATGTTTTTAGCATAAAATCATGACTTGTTAGATACCAACATATAGATAATTTGGAGAACGAATAGAGAACTATTTATTACCTTTTATTGAATTGAAAGGGTTATATTTTTAGGAGTGACTATTTTTTTGAAAAAGAAAGTTTTTGGCTTTCTACTACTCCATCGTGATACAAAAAATGTGGGAATCTTCCAAAGAAAGGAAGAAAGCAATCAATTTTAAAAGAAATAACTCTATACATAGATGTGTAAGATCATGCAAAGAAGTAACTTTCAGACACATACTGGCAGAAAGAGCCCTCCTGAAACAGCGCGGCCTGGTCAGAAGCAACTTTGTCAAAACCGCTGATGAATTCAGACGAAACATCGGCTGTATCGGATTTATATAGACTTCTCCTCGATTTTGCGATAGGGATAGAATTCCTTATTTCAACTACGTTGGGAATTAGCTCTTTTGGAGGCTGTGCGGGTTCAGCCAGAGGACTAAGTTCAGCCTCATTTAGAATTCCCCTCTTCTGTGAAAGTTTGATCCTTTTGCTGCGAGTATTCCACCGCACTGCACATCTCCTGTTCTTGCACTGTATACAGCGTGACTCACGGTCGATTTGAATAATCGATATTTGCATTCATTTTGGAAGATGATTCGAAATATTGTCTATAACTCTTTGTAAATTACTTATAAAAGTAAATCATGAATTGAGAGTACTGATGTACTTAATTTCAATTAAGGCTATGTTTTGGGCCATATTTAGCACAATTTATTTTTTATCTCGAAAACAGATAGCGATAGGTATAGGATATTATCAACAAAAAAGTATTAAAATACCAGAGCGATTCCAAAAATGTATTAATATACGGGGTGTTCGAGTTAAAAAAATAAAGTTGCTAGGACTTTTTTATGGAAATGGCAACGCCGCAATGCTGAAAATATTTTAGCTCGATAGAACAGGTAAGGAAATGTGAGAGGTGAAATTTTCAGAAAAATCATGCTTTGCGTTTTCCAGAAACGTCTAACCTACCATCGACCGTGAGTCACGCTGTATACAGTGCAAGAACAGGAGTCACGCTGTATATAGATATTTTCAGTGAAAAAACTATCCACATCTGCCTCTGAAAGCTACTACCTGTTTCACCAGAATTAATCATTTATCTATTCGCGTTCAGGCATAAAATGTCAGTAATTAACGTATAAATAGAAATAACTGAAGTCACCGATTTTCACTGAATTAATCTGTTTTCAATCCAGTTACTATTTTTCAGCTGTCGGAGCTGGAAAAACTCACCACAGCGAGGTACAGGAAAAACTATATTTCCAATCGGACGTTTATATCGACCATTGGGAGGGCGCAAAAACGGAATTGGCAGGACTGGAAAAAGCTGGCGTTAAGTTCAAAGGGGAAGTAGGAGGAGTCATACGTGGAGATATAAAGACCGAGGACGAAAATAAAATTACAATTTTCCAGAGCTTAGGTAAGACGAATTTGAGGGGGAAAACAATAATTACTGACCAACTTAATTCTTTAAGTTCTTTGAACTGTCTGTTCAAAAAATGAGATGAATTTTCATTTTTCCCAAAAAATAATTATTTAATCATCAATTTCTATTTTGTTCTCTCCAAAGTAGTCCCCCTTAGATATAATACAATTGTGCCAGCGTTTCTTCCAATCCTCGAAATAATTTTGATATGCACTTTTTGGTATACCCTTGAGCTCTCTAACACATTAACTTCTTTTTGGTAGTGCGTGCTGATTACGACAACAAAGCAACTGATTGATTGACCGATTCGGTGAGTGTGCAAGCACCCGCTATCAATAAAATATCGGCCGATTTTATACTGGCCGCAACTAGCGTACGCTAAATGCACACACACCGATTTTGTTCGGCCGATTTTATACCGGTCGTCCAAATTCCAATAGTGAACTACATGTGGTAACGGGACCTGTCACCGCCAATCACTGGTCGGCGTCTGTGCAAGAACCCGTTCCTACATGTGGTTCACTATTGGAATTTGGACGACCAGTATAAAATCGGCCGTCCACAATCGGTGTGTGTGCAATTAGCCTGACGCTGGTTGCACACACACCGATTTTGGACGGTCAGTATAAAATCGGCCGATATTTTATTGGTAGCGGGTGCTTGCACACTCATCGAATTTTTATCGGTCAAACAATCAGTTTCTTTGTTGTCGTAATTAGCACGCACTACCAAAACGAAGTTAATGCGTAGTAACTACAATTTCACCGAGCATTCGAGACTGGAATGGTCGGTAAAAAACCGGTGAGTATGCAAGAATGTATTTAGTCATGTACGCCACTACTTCCCGTCACTGCCGGCGATACAGTGGCAGTGGACGGCTGCTCACCGGTATTTTACCGGCGACGATCACCGGTCGGCGTGTCAGGTCCCGTTTCCTCATGTGGTTCACTATTGGAATTTGGACGACCGGTACAAAGTCGGTCGTCCAAAATCGGTGTGTGTGCAACTAGCGTAAGGGATTCGCTTTTTATCTCGCAAAACACCGTCCTTTCATAGAACTCTTTAATCTTGGGTACAGAAAAAAGTCGCATGAAGGCAAATGTGGTGAATACGTTGGCTGAGGCATGATTATGGTGTTGTTTTTGGCCAAAAAATAACCAACGTTTTTTTCGTATTGCTTCTTTCAAGCGGCTCATAACTTCAAGGTAATACTCCTTAGCATTTGATTGAACTTGGCGTCCTTTTTCTGGTCTTCCTCTCCTGAATTCTTCCATTGGATTGATGTCATAGCAATACAGTGCATTTCTTTAATGTCCCCCCTTTTATGTTTTGAATGGGTCAACTTGAAAAAGAAACTTTGGATAATGAAATGAATACATGAATACTTCATTTTGAAGTGAAATTGACAGATGGAACTTTCAAGATGGCGACTGGGCTTCATTTGGGGAAAAAATTGAATAGAAAGGGGGGTCCTGTGACACATCATTTTTAAGCTCCTGACAAATACTTTACAACCCTAGAATATGAAATCAATATCTTCAACTACTACAAAATGGCGGAACATTTAATAATTTCCTGAAGACAAACACATTAATATCGATATTTCTAAAAATATTCCTTTTCATCTGCCATATGGCAGTTCCAACAACTCGATAAGGTTTGTTAAGTTATTTTCTGTTTATAAAAACGACAAAAAATGTCAGTACGACAATGAACATCATTGTTCAGTTAACAATCTCTAAAATGGTCAATTCTCGTCCATTGAAAGAAGGAATTGAAGCGATTTTTATTTACGGTGCGACGCGTAACTTTCACGAGACCAAAAGGATTTTCAATGAACGTTTTCCGAATCGTCCTATCTGTAGAGAATATTTGAGGGGACATAGTATCCAAATTCACAACTACCGGTAGTGAACATAGCAAAAAGCTCCCAGGTCATCCGTCCATTCCAGAAGAACAGCAAGTGCAAATAATTGGTGAGATGGTAGTAAATCCTGAACAGTCTACTTATTCCATCGCGAATGTTTGTGAGGTGTATCCTTCTACTGTGTGGAGACTTTTGCAGAGGAATAGGTATCATCCATACAAAATTAAAATGGTACCCATACCAATTAACTGAAAATGACCCCGATCGAAGAAGAGAATTCTGCGAAATCATGACGGAAACCTTTGCAAGGCATCCTATCTAGTGACGAATGTACATTTTTTTCAAACGGCAATGTTCACAAACAAAATTGCCGTTATTGGAGTGACACAAACCCTCACGTTTTCCGGGAAACACATAGTCAAAATCCAGTACAAATTAACATTTGGGCAGAAATATTGGGAAACCATATTGTAGGACCTCTATTTATTGATGAAAATTTAACAGGAGAACTGTATTTGAATATGCTGGAAACTACTGTTGACCCTCTCATCACTGAAATCGTCTAAGCGGATCCTAATGAATTCGATATGGATTTTGTATTCCAACAAGATGAAGCACCACCGCATTACTCCAGACAAGTAAGAAACTATTTAGATACTACTTTTCCCGGTCGTTGGATTGGCCGTCGAGGTCCTACAGAATGGCCAGCCCGCTCGCCAGATTTGACACCTTTGGACTTTTTTTATGGGATCTTTGATCCGATTTTTTTACGATAGCAGAAAATCCACGCAAAACACTCATTCTAACAACACACTAAACATGCAGTTGAAATTGTAAACATATGTTCAAGACTAGTTGTACCAACATTAAAAATTAAAGAATCTAGTAGCCCGCCAAATTTGAACATTCACGTTATTTTCTGAACTGTCCACCTACATACTAGTTTCTCTACTATTAACTCATGTTTCAATCGATACCAATTGAAAAGTTTCCAAACTGAACCCAAACTGTTATTTTTCATAGTTTCAGAGTATAATTAGGTAAATATAAATAGTTCTGACTTTCTAACATATTCTTTTTTTGCCATTATTGTTATTTCACATACCTTCGGTAATTCCTAAGACCGCCAAATTTATGCGTATTATTAGGTCCAATTGGATTCGGATTCATTTCCAATGAACGTAATGGAAATAATATAAATGAATCAAAATTCCTTGCTTTTCCACCTTGAAACTTATTTCACTGACGTAACGGATTATTATTATTGAACAATATGATGTCATGTGTCAAATGGGTCTCCCAAATTTGACACTTGACGCATCAAGTTTGGTATTCGAGATACACTTCTGAACTATTAACTTTCGCTTATCTGAATGGGACAATCAGAGGATACTTTATTGGTACATATGGAATGAACTGTCGTACAGATCTGCCATGATTCTAGCTCTATTTGACCAAAATCCCCAACTATCCTGTTTCCAACCAACAGGCTACATGTACTAGAAAATACTATAATTATTTACAGGGTGTTCCTTAAGGATATGCGTATATTCAAGGATATAAATCTACATGGAGAAATCACAGAAAAATGGATTAACGGGGTCTCTTAGTCAAAAATCAGAAATAAAAACTCTGCTTTACTTTGCCAAGCTTTCGCTTCTTACTGAAGTTTTCTTCAGGGACTGTAACTCATTGAGTTATGGATTTTTTTCTTTGGATTGAATTACATTATTATACTGAGAGTAAAAATGAGTATGAAACGATGAATGAAACATATAAATCGGCAAAAAGAAAAAAAAACATGCATATGAAATTTTCTGTTTTTTTGATCAAGTGAATTATCATTATATACATTTTTGTTGATTATGATAGTATTTGTGCTACTGCTAGTATTGAAAATTATTTTATTGATAAGTTTCCTGGGACATGAATTTTCGATTGATATATCTTCAAGGAGTCTGAAATATCAAAATATCCCAAAAAATATTAAAACTATAAAGGATTTAAATACTAAATTGAAAGGTAAAACGGATATTACAAAAAAGTCAAATGTAATTTATAACATTCTTCGTCATAATTCTTGTAACTTGGAGTATATTGGAACAACATCCAGAATTCCTAATGATAGGACAACAAAAAAATATTTTCAAACCACTTTTCTTTGAGATGATCGAAATCAAAGTGTCTTTCAATCTTATCAATAAAAAACTAACATTGAGAATATCAGCAACTATTAACAACTTGTTGAAACTATACCAAAAACATAATAATCATGAAAATCTTATCAGTCAATGACTCCCTTTTTAGAATTGATGATTAACCTATCAAATCATTAAACTCTTCTGCCGACTAAACTTGAACTCTGCCTTTTGACTGATATTCTTTTCTTTATATTCTCTATATTATTATGTATTTATATAATTTGCATTTCAGTCAAAGAAAACGATTATTATTATTATTATTCATGTGAAGGTATGACTTTTGTCAAACAAAACAGTTTATACACATTTTTCACTTTTTTTACCACTTCATTATGATATTATACTAATTTTTACTGGTTTTACTGTGACTTCATTCAAAGAAAAAATTCATAACTCAATAGAGTATAGGCCCTGAAGAAGCTTACCAACGAGAAACGAAAGCTTGGTGAAGTAAAACAGAGTTTTTATTTTTGATTTTTCACCCCGTTAATCCATTTTCTATACATTTTTCCAGTCGCTGAGTCAATCCACTTGAAAAATAATGATAGATTGCTAAATGAACGATGGTTCAAAAATGAGCTATTGAAAATACGAGGTGTTGAAGTTTTGAGAAATAAATGTAAATTATTTAATATTTCCGAAACCAGTTCGAATATTTCAGTGATGTCTGGTAAGCAGTGACAATTGATGGGGGTTTCTATTTCTCAATGAAAAAATGATTTTCTAATTCAACAGTAGCGTGAGTAGGTAGGTACGGGAACTGAGGCTGATATTTAAAAAAAAGGATAAAAACGTCTTCCTGGGTCTTTTTCCTCATATACGTCGTTTTTGAATGAAAAATAGAACCCTTGTATTGTCAAATATGGAAAATAATCATGGAATAATTCAAATTCATTCAAGCGTATACATAAATTGAAAGATGTTCCAACCTCATCTTCAATATTCTAAAACAAAAACATTCAGTATTCAGAATTCCATCTTTTATGTTCATAGTTCATTCCAAAATTGATACGATGACATGATATAGAAATATAAAACAAACTAAAAACGCAA